ACGTAAAGAATTCCATTTTCGTCAGCTTCAAAATTTTTGCAGCGGCGAACGAAGTTGGATCGTGCAGTGGGGGTGATGGGGCTTTTCAGAATGCTATCTGAGAAAGTTTCTGACCGAAGATATTTGACTATCGTTTGATACTCCTCAGCTGTTTCAGGAATTTTAGGAATTGGTACCATGTTTAAAAAAAAAAAAAAAAAAAACCTTGAGGGTTTTTTTTTTGTGCAGGTAGATGCCGGGAGTCTACTTTCTTGGGTGGGTGGGCACTGCTTTGGTGGGTGGGCGCTGCTTTTTCTTGGGTGCTGCTTTTTTTTGTGGGTGGGTGGGCGCTGCTTTTTCTTGAGCGGATGTTTAAGAAACGATTGTTTTTTTTTTTTGATGATCAAGTTGCACGATATGATACCTAATTCAGAATTTTTAGAATGTCAATCCTTGTGCCACATGAAATGATGTATGAGTACGGGTCACGTGGATTTCATGATAATCCGATTTCATGATAATCTGTGACAAACAATGTCTGGCAAATATTGTCCAATATTTGCAATAATCTAATTGCTAAAAATATATCTGATACTGTATAGACAGACTTTCAGAATTTTTTTTTATTCTTTCTGTAATAGGAGAAAGTATTAATGTTATGTTCCCTTCTGTTTTCTCCTGTTGAATTCTGTATTAATACGATTTTGTAAACTTTAGGTTTGGGCTTATTTTTTTCACTAACTTTTTTTAGGTTTGCTAGAGTGTGAAATTATAATCGGAAAATGTAAGATTATACTTCTAGTTATTTTTTTTCTTGTCATTTGTTCACTAACTTTTATTCTCTTCTTTCTCTAGGTTTGCTGGATGTTGAGTTCAGAGCCAGAAAGATCTTCTATTACTTTTAGTTTTTTTTTTTCTTATTGCTTTTTTGTTCATTATTATTTCTTTTTCTAGGCTTGCTTGAGTGTGAAATTAGAACTGGGAAAGTAAAAACATACTTCTAATTACTTTTTTTTTTCTTATCACCTGTTCACTAACTTCTTTCTTCTTTTCTCTAGATTTGCAGGAATGTTGAATTCAAAGCTTATGAAGGTAAAATTC